GGAGAGGATAAGGCGAGGTGCTACTAGTTCATGGGTGAGAACAATGTAAAACTGCTTCAACAGAGAGTGGCCGAGCAGAGAGTGATTCGTAAAGCAGCACTGGAAAACAAGTTCCACAAGCTGCCTGGTCTAATGTTATCCAAAAACGAACACAGCTGATGACAAACCGACGAATATAATTGCAGCAGTGGGGTCAATCCTCAGCCAGACGGAAGTGAGAAACCAAACGAAGAATCTTATCCGATACCGAGTGTCGTTCCACCTCATGGCACATTATCCACGCGAATCGCTTCCTGGGGTCGAACTTGATGCACTAGAGGAACTCGAGACCAGCAAAGAACTCGCTATCGTACCCCCGGACAGGGGGATGTTCAACTGTCGTATTGGACAGCACAGACTACCTTAAAAAGCCAAAAGCTGGCTTCATGATCGCCATTTCTGTGCCTCATGTTATTCCAATCCCACAAAAACACGCGAAAGAAATGCGATGTTATTGGCGATGGGGAACTGAGGTGCAATATTACCAGCCAACCCACGCAAGGCGAGATCTCAAGAAACGACTTAGGCTCAATTTTATGGTCTTCTGAAAAGTGCACAACGAGGGCGCACCTCTCCGAACCGTCGTATCACTCAAAGACACTCCAACTATCGGACTGACAGAGTTCTGACTGATGATTCAGTCGTCACAGTCAGCTTGCCAAAACCATTCTTGAATAAATTTAAACGGGCAGGTTCCCATCTAAGTGACGTCATGATATCATTTGATGTCACGTCCATTCTTACTTATATTCCACAGGACCTGGCGGTCGAGACCATCGAACTACTCCTTCAGAACAACTAAGGCCAAACGGAGAATCGCCAAGGACACAGCAAAATCCCTCAGATCCTGAGGCGGTCTTAAGACATACCTGACTTTCGGCAGGAAAATCTAGGGACAGGTGAAAGGCATGCCAATGAGTTCGGCGAGTTCGTGACCCTGTAGCTGTCGCGGTCCTACAACGGTTGGGCTCGCCAGCCTTCCGACACCACAAACCGAAATCTAGGGCTTGATATACCTCTCGACCGAGCGGGCTCGGGTGATGGCATTCAAAGAACATCTCAACACCGTCTTCCCGGACACGCAATTCACGATGTAGGAGGAAGAAAATAACCACCTAGCCTTCCTTGATGGCCTCGTTTGCCGCAGCCTTTGTGGTGGCCTAAAAATAAAGTGTTCAGGGAGGTGACTTATACGGCACAAGCCTCAACGGCAGCAACAACAACCCCATCAGCCACAAACGCGGTTGCGTACGGGAGCTATGCCTGGATGTCGGGCCTGAGGTTAAGGTCACTGAATTACAATACCTCTGACGGTTGCACAACTTCGGCAGTCGATTCATGCGTAAACGCAACGAGGGACAAGACACAGCCAGTCCCAAACCTTGGCGAACGCTCCCGTGTGTAAAAAGCTTCCCGGATGCCATCGGCCGCCTTCTCTCAGCGCTCAAAGTTGGAGTTGCACACAGACTGGAGGCAACCATCAGGCGCCAAGTCATGAGGCCGAAAAATTCACTGACACGACAGAAAACGTTCGGAGTTGTGAGGGAGACATGGTCGTTGGAACAAGAGTTTTATCCGCCCGACGTTTCGGATTCCTGCTCGAATGCATCAGAGGGCGCAGGCAAGCAACAGTTCCGCTGACAGCCAGCCAAATGGCTGAGTACTCGTCACGCCAACAATCAACAAGGGTGCTGAAATCACAGCCATTAAAGACTCGCGTACAGACCGGCAAGCAATCACCGCATCAAATACGCCCTCCAGCGATGAACACCAATGCTGCTAATTATTGGAGGCATGTGGATGGTGGGTAACTGCGTCCTATAAATGCTGCACTCTTGTTCCTCCATCACCCTTATCTGCGACTGTGTCTGATGTTGGCCCCGAGGGGGAATCCGAAACATCAGGACAATAAACCGCTGGTTCCAGCGATCGCATCTTCTTCTTTAGCCTGCGGTTCATCGTGTGGCGTATCCCCACTGAACATTCTCAGCTGGGTCATGCAGCCAGCCGACGAATTTGTTGGGGTTTTGCTTGCTGTGTAGAACTCAGCCAGAGATGGGTGCCAGCTAGACAGAGTAACGGCCACATGCGCCAGTGCCCATGGAACGTTGTTCACTGCCCCAGTTTTACTCCCCGTCTGGCTCCGTCCATGTGCTCTAATCGATTTGTGCAAATCGGGAGGGCAGTATCTGCCACTGTCCGCTGTTCATCGGATGCGGTTTCACCAACGGCTGTCAGGGTTTCTTCCCTGGACCGTCTCTTTTGAATATGCTTTCCGCTCCCCTCAACGGCCGGCATAGTGCGTTTCTTCATCTCCACTTATTGGTGAAACCTGAGAGGTACGTCTGCCCAGATGCCCTCCTTCTCTTCTGTTATTGGCCCTTATGTGTAAAGCTTAAAATATCGATGAGTATATTTGATCTGCCCAACTGTGGGTTCTTTACGCTTTGATTTCGGTTAGAGGCGTAGTGACCCGTCCCGGCGTCCGTATGGCGCGCATCAATGCTGCCCTGGAGAAAACCGGCCAAAACGTGACACCGCTCGGCTTTGTCCGTCCAATCAATTCAAGGCTGGCGCGACCCACCTAAACGCCTACGCGTACGCGTGCCTCCTGTTCATCTGCTAACCTGTCGCAACAATTAACCATGGGTATATGGCAGGGTACTTTAGTATACAGAACCGCCTACTTTATCTATATAAGTAGGCATTATTTAATATAGTTCTTGGTGGGGGGCCAGTCACAGCCTTCGACCATTCCTTTCACATAGGCCCACAGCGTCAAGTCAGGTGGGCATGGGAGCCATTTCACTAGCACGTTGTCTCCATCAGCAGAACGTCCAATCTTTTTTCCTGACACTTTCTCGTTGAGATATGTCCGTATCGTGAGTTCCCATTGCGGTGGAGCCCCACGTTGTTGAAAAATGAATTGGACATGCTCATTTGCCTCAATTTCGTCAAGTTCTAAGGCATCTGCAGACGGTTGTCTCCGGTCGCGTTCCACTCTAAAAAATTGGCCATAAAAACAGTTCTTTTAGAGGGCGCAGAACACATTCAGTTTTAACGAGTTCGTTTCATGTTAAGTTGTGATCGGCGGATTTTATTTTCCCAAATGCGAATATATTGATTGTTCACTTTGCCATTCGAATGGGGCGCAGCAAAATCGCTAGAAACCGGACGTTTCTCAAAGTTGTCATCTTCAAGTTCCTATTGAATATCTTCACCGAACACACTACGTTTTTACTTCTCACCCGGCTTTAATGCCTGCACAAACTGAAACGTTTTCTTATGACACGTTAAACGGTTGACTTAGGGATCTGTATTTCCAGGCTTGCTCTTCACACACATTTTCTTCGACTATGACTAAACGCTTCGCAAACTTGGTTCACCACATCCTCAGAAAGTGCCCTATTCTTTTTTTCTGACAAGACAGCCCTTCTAATGAAACGTCTTATTTCACTTTCAGATCTGCTCCTCCGTTTATGTCTCTTTATGAGATCTTGAAATAAATGCCCGTAGCGATTTCATATTTGACTGAGTTTGGGCGTACTCCAATGCAGAAAACAGCTTTTATGTTGCAGTAAACGGCGTGTCTACATAATCTCGAAAAGGGAAACGTACCAGAGATTAGTTTTTTAAAGATATACTGAATTCCAGGTAGGCCGTTAACATTCGAGACAATTTGGACGAAAGTTGTTCACGTTATTAGGTGATGAAGTGATGTCAAATGTCTAGAGAAACCCTGTATCCAGACCCAGAAACCGCTTGTTACTGCTCGTGGCATTTCCCAAAATATCTCACTCGCATCTCCTTCATTTCCACTGGAATGGGTAGTTATGATCCGAGTTGGTTCTTGCTGAGGCTGTTAGTAAGTAGTACAAATCGTACATTCGGCCGTTTCTGCTATCGACCGGAGAAAAAAATATAGAACGGATAATTTTTTTTAGGGGACGAAACCGTTGGGAGAAGTTCCTATTATCTGCGTCTTAACTTCAAATGCCTTTACAAGACCTGAGCGCCCAGTAAATGGGTAAGAGACTGGGATAGATGATAAAATTGAAAAAAATGAAGAAGAGGAAGAAACGTGGAGTGGAAAATGCTTACTTCTATGACTGTCTTCAATAATCTTCCTCCTGAATTCCAACTTCCCTGAAAACATTCGAGACTCTGCGTAGACATTCGCACATAGGAGCACCACGTGACTTTATCGTGAAGACTGGCGCACAGTTCAGGCAGACTTTGAGGCAGTGAGGGTGGGGGATGAG